AAAATTAAGAATGAATTAAACAAAATTAACAAAATTTGGGACTAAATTGAAAAAAAATAATAAAAATTGGGATCAAATTGAATACAAGACATCATGTGACATTGACACTTACACATGACACTGATACTAACTTGACATGTGGTACTGAAATTGACTTAACACGTGACATAAACATTATTACACGATACAATATTGACTTGACACATATACAAAATTTTTAAAATAAGAAAAAATATAAAAGGAATTAATAAAAATAATTAAAAATTATGAATTGACACGTGACACACAATGTTCATCTACCATTAGTGGTTTAGACACCGTAATGAAAAATGATCAAGTTGAACATAAAATACGAAAATTGGGATCACATTGAACACTCGAAAAAATTTAGTCTCACATTGAACAAAATTGACAAAAATAGGAATCAAAATAATATTTAAGCCTTACAATTATATATTTTTCACACCTACATAAAACATCATTAATTATAATTATATGCTCTCTTTCAAATCAAATTTAATCATTCATTTTTAATTATTTTTTACTGTTGAGACTCTTGTGAATATATGTCACATACGACAACTGTAACATCCCAAAATATAGCATAAAACTATATACAGGTGTCATCATTTAATAATATGATAAAACAGTTACTGGAAATAAAGTTAACCTTACAGTTATTACAAAATAACCATAAATTTAAAACTTTACAAAAAGTACTACACTATTCCAAAACTATGTGCATAATTACCAAATTAGGATTATAACCGAACGGTTCATACAAAACTATTCACAAGACCGAGCGATCTTGTATTAAGCCGAGGGGTCCTCTCCTTCCAAGGACTGCTCCACCGAGAACTCCTCTCCAACTGCTCACACCCATAGGGTGATCATTGCAAAAGAATAACCGAACGGGAAACATGGACAAAAATAGGAAAAAAGGTAAGCTAATGTAATTTAATTGTATACACATACATACATTTCAAACAAGTCCAAACAATGCAAGGGTCGAACACTAAAACATACCAAAACCGAATACAAGCAAACATATGCAAATCAAATACTCAAGTAGTTATGACCGAACACCAAAATTCATGCATAAACCGAACACCTGACTTGACCATTCGAATTGTATGAATGTGTAGCTACATGCATTCCTGCACTTGTGGTGGTGAAACAACAAGACCCCATCAAGCTACCCCACAAGGTTAGTCCAGTGAAGATTACCCTGATACCTTGAGGTTAAAGGACCTCCTGTCATTCTCACACATGAGTTACTCCTCTCTACTTGAGAATGAGTAATCATAGAATATCAGGAAAACACCAGCTTAGCACGATATCCATATTCATACTTTACAATTCAATAATCATCCACGAGACATTTCGCCTTGGAATTCTCTTCCACAGTACTTAAAACATAATTCTCATCATTTAACATATAATTTCATCCAAAAATCATATCCTCACTCATAAGACCGAGAACCTTGTGAACGTTGGACACCGAATGGTTTCTCACTACCCAAGAATATGACCGAATGATCCACAATAGATAGAACAGAAGAAGTATCCGAACACTATTAAAGACCGACCACTATAAGAGACCAAAAGTTAATACTAGTATAATATTGAGCGCTAACACTAGCATAACTGCTAGTATAAGACCGAGCGCTAACACTAGCATAACTGCTAGTATAAGACCGAGCACTAACATTAGCATAACTGCCAGTATAAGACCGAATGTTAACACTAGCATAGCTGCTAGTATAAGACCGAGCGTTAACACTAGCATAACTGCTAGTATAAGACCGAGCCCTAACACTAGCATAGTTGCTAGTATAAGACCGAGCGCTAAAACACTATCATAACTGCTAGTGTAAGACTGAGCGTTAACACTAGCATAGCTGCTACTATAAAAGCGAGCGCTAACACCAGCATAACTGCTAGTATAAGACCGAATGCTAACACTAACATAGCTGCTAGTATAAGACCGAGCGCTAAAACTAGCATAACTGCTAGCATAAGATCGAGCGCTAACACTAGCATAGCTGTTAGTATAAGACCGAGCGCTAACACTAGCATAACTGCTAGTATAAAACCGAGCGCTAACACTAGCATGGCTGCTAGTATAAGACTGAGCGCTAACACTAAGAAACCCACCCTTCTAAGACAAAAGGGTCATGAATTGATAGGACTCCAAAGAGACCGAACCCAGTTAATGACCAAGCACAGAACAAGGTCGAACAGTCAACAGTAACCGCTCGGCGTTCTGCATATTTCTGCAAAACTTCTGTAGAATTATGAGTAACTCCCAATTTTGACCAAAAATCCATTTTCTTACTTTTTACACATTTTTAAAACATCTTAAAGATTCTAACAAGTCTAAATAAACTTGCCTAGACGTACCTTACCACCCAATTTCACTCTTAACCTCAAACTCTCATTTTCTCTATTCACTTCTTCTAAAACAAAAAATAGAACAGACCGAACATTTTTCTGCAAAAAACCCAACCAGTTCACAGGTTTCAATCATACACAGAATTTCAAACACAATTCAATCAAACATCCACTTATTTATACATGCAAACGTCCACACAGAACTTCCAAACAGAGAAAAACATAATTAAATTACTAGTTTCCCTTACCTCGAATAAATTAGACAATTCTACACTTCCACAGTCTTGTCTAACGTGCACGTAACTTCTAAAGCAACCTACATATTCAGAGGAGTAGTTGATGAACACATACAAGTTTTTTTTTTGTTTTTTTATATAATAATAATAACATTACAAAATAAAAATTAATATTTTAAATTAAAAAAATAAATTAAAAAATTTATTTGTTTTAATTCAATAATTAATAAATATTTTTTATTTAATAAATGTTTAATTAAATTAAAATTTTTCATATAATGAAATATATTAATATTTTAATTTATAAAATATTATTTATTAAACAAAAATAAATAAAACATATTAAAATATTAAAAAAAAACTTAAAACAGGATGTTAATCGTATTTGGAAATACGGATTTGAATTATTTATATCTTAACCGTATTTTCAATTACGTTTAACAATATTTTTGTTTTTCTTTTAATTTTATAATATATTTTATTTATTTTTGTTTAATAAATAATATTTTATAAATTAAAATATTAATATTTATTTTATTATATTAAAAAAATTTATTATTAAATTTAAATAACATTAATAATAATAATAATAAAATATATTAAAAAATTGATTATTAATTGAAATTACAGAATAGGAATTTTTGGAGGTGCAGAGTATTAAAAAGAAATACCTATCCCTTCTTCCCATAAAATAGTTCATCTACCAAACTTGTTAGTCATAATTATGGAAACAAGAGTAACAATTGCGTTGAACATACATGAGATAAGCACTCACTCTGAGGCCGGTGATTTTGAACCAAACAGAGCATAAAACACAATCATATTCATATTCATATCAGTAGTTGTTGGAAGAAGAGAATGACTATGACAAAATTGAGGCTTGTAACTCTTCAATAAAGAAACCCAAGAATGCTTCACTACTTTGGAATATTTACTTGCCACAAGATTTTAGTTTCGTGAGAACCTTCTCATTAAGACTTTCATTCGATAAAAAAATCTAATAAATTTTACTGGTAAAAGTTACTGCAAAGCCTAAACTACAATGTCACCCTTCTCAATTGTCTATCTTGACAAAAATATAATTAAAGACATTGGTTACAAAGATGCTACTTACTATATGAAAGATCATGTTAAAAGCTCATATATAATATAATATATTTTATAGGAGCAACCCACTTGTATAAACGAAAAGAAAAACACATTTTAAATCATGATAAATAATGTAAGTAATAATTTTTAAGAAAACAAAACAAAAGCTTGAAGGATGCACTATTATTATTTATATAATAATATTTACACTGTTGTTCACCTGAATGGATTTGAGAAAGAGTGATTGAATGGATTTGAGAGAATTTAAAGGTAAATCTTTTGTTGTTTATTTGAGTGGGTTGGGAGGTAAGTGAGAGTGGATTTGGAAATATTTTTTTTTTAATCTGTCAGTTCAATAAAATCTTACATTGATTCTTACAAATTTTACTTCCAAATCCACTCAAATAAACAATAAAAAATTTACCTTCAAATCCTCTTAAATTCATTGAATCACTTTCCTTAAAATTCATTCAAGTGAACAAAGCCTTAATATAGTGACAGCTAAAACATAGTTTTTCATATACGTGACCTAATTGTATTGAAAAATCACTTTAACACGTAATTTATCTTGTAAGTTTATTAATTTTAAAAATAAGTCATTTCTCTATTCATTTTAAATTTAAAATTACATCTATTAAATTAAAAAATATTAATTTTTTTAAGAAAATAATACATAAAAAATAAAGTAATAACTTGATATAAAATATGTTTTTATTGTTATTATTAGTTATACAATAATATATAATATAGTTACAATTAAAATGTTTTTTTATGGAACGTAAGTTATAAAACAATCACTTCAACACTAAATCTATCAATTAAGTTTATTAATTTTGAAAATATTTTGTTTCAATATTTATTTTAATTCTAAAACTACAACGACTAAGGGACTATGATAAAAAAATATTCATAAACAAGTTTTTAAACTAGTTTTTCATACTCATCATGTCATTAATTATAATTTATCAAAAACTAAATAAAAGTTGACGTAAAAACATATAAGTATATTATCTAATTGTTAACGCAATCAATTATAAAACCAAGTAACATATAATCAACGATAAACATTCCGAACATGTTCAGCAAAAACATTCGATTCAGGACTTACAGAAAGAGCGCTCTTTCACAAACATGGACACAATTAGAATAGCTAAATGTAGAGATAATGTGAATAATATCAATATGTGTCTGTAAAATTTGCAGTATTGGTTGTTTAAGAACCTTTTATATTGTTTTCCTTTTAATACATTTTTGGAAAGAATTTCTTCAAAAAAAAAATCTATGGAAGTTATGCCACCTCCTTATGTTGATGCGAGTAAAGATCTACTTTTTATTTGTTAATCAAAATCATAATTTTTAATACATCGTTGCAAAAAAATTTAGTCGATAAGGTGGGAATTTAGACTTATTTGTAAAAAGAATTTCAAGTGTAAAAGATGGATTTCAGAATGAGATATCGGATGTGTCGATTATGTTATTAAGGTTAGGTCCAAATAGTATATGGGCTGTTCTTTCATTTTATTATATTTGTTTTTTTTTTCAAAAAAAGAAAAAAACATAAGCATCTTTGCATGGAGTAGAAACAGAAAGTTAGGCACATAAATATACGTTATTATGATATCCAAGGAATAAGACTGCAAAAACAGACCAAACAGTATTACCTAAACACTGTACAGTGACTTTACTATTGAAATTTGTCACTTAATTTGGCAGCATGCAACCCATAATTGCAGGAAAAACAATAATAGAACGCTGGATTCCTTCTGATTAGGTGTTTGTCACGTGCACTTCAGTTGCAACTTGGAAAATACTGGCACTTGCCCAAACCATGTGCCGCCATATATTTATTACATGCAAACATAACTAAGCTGGAAGTATATCAATATTACATCTTCCATCTAAACGAGAATTCCAGTTATTTAGTGAAGCCAGAAATGCAAAAAAGGCTCTTAAAAAGTTCAATCATGGACCTCTGATTGGAAAGGTAAAGGATCATTTAACATAATGGAAAAACAAACAAATGAAACAAAAACTAAGGTAACCTCAATAATTACACCAAATCAACAGTAGAATCAAGAAATAGAAAATTGATACTATTGGGGAAACTACACTCAAGCCAATCAAGAAGAACCAGGGTTTATTACACTTTCATATACTACAAGGTAAGAATGATTGGAACCTATAATAATTGGAACCTGCCACTTCCCAAGTCAAAATCACCCATACTATCACACAGTGAAAGACCAATATACTGCGAAACCTGCAAAAATAGTTGTGGCTAGGCTACTAACTAGGATTCTTCTAGGGGCATTGGAGGAAGCATGCATTGATCCAAATGGTGAAAAAGCAGAAAGAGGTCCAGGAGCTATTAAGTCGTCTGGGTTTGGAGGGCTTGGATTGGAAGGAATAGTGGGAATGTCAGAGCCAGTTGGAGTCGGCAACACACCACCAGGAGAAGGAAACAGCGGAGCAATGTCTGGGGACAATTCTTTGAAAGGGGACAGTGAAGATGGAGGAGGATCTGATAGTGCTGCTGGTGAAGATGAGAGTGTGGGAAGTTTTGGAATAGGCTGTGAATATGATGAATGCAGAGGTGAAGGCATGAAAGTTAAGATGGTCATGAGTGTTATATAAACGTTGTGTAATGCCATTCTGAAGGTGAAGAAAAGCTAACTTACACTACCTGCAAATGGATATAATTGTGTAAGGATATTTGAGGGAGAGGGAGATATGTGGGCAGTTAGTGGGTATAATTATGGCAAGGCTTTTAAATCGTCAGTCTCCTAAGTCTGCAGGTTCAGATCTCTCACTCACCTCCTACCTAAGACTAGGTGGGACAAATGGGGTACCATGTGTAAAGATTCTATTGGATGATGATAAGGGATATGGTTTTTTACCTCGAGGAAGAGACAAAGATTGAGAAAGGATTCCATGTGCTGCGTTTGGTGAGAGAGAATCCTTTTAAGCCCGTGATCTTTGGTGCACTACAGCTCTTGATTTCCTGTTGATCCTTAAAGCCAATTTGTTAATTATAGCAAACAGGAAAACGGCTGTAGTCTTGCTTTACAAAATTCACAATCATAGTGCTTCATCTTTCAAAGGTGATTTAAAAATAATCGGCAAACAAAAGAAAGAACCATAATGATTCCAAATCTGTTGCTTGCGGTATGATCATCTGTCTTCATGAGACTGTTTCAGGGTAGAGGTGAATTTTATAACTTGAGGTTGTCTCGTGACGAACATTCCTATAAGCATAAAGGGGGCTAGGCTGGACCTTTTTGTTGCTTGAGCATTATTTAAATAAGCCTTTTAACACATCTGACAGTTTTTCTGTGTTCGGAAGTATGTGCCATGGTACCTATCAAATAAGAATCTCAATATATTCATGCAGTTTTTTATTCTTGTTTTTTTGGTCATTTCATGTGTCCAATACCTTGTTTCTGTTAGTGTTTGGCCTTAATGAAATCAATTTATAGAAAAAAGAAATACAACGAAAATTTTCGTTGACATTTTAATGATCAGGAGATACAGAGTACACATACTTTACATCGAAATACAGTGGAGCTGTAGAATTCACCCAATTGCTCAACCTTTATCTAGAATTTAGCAAGGCCCGCCTGAAATATAAAGGATAAACGATGGACTAGAAAAGTTACTGGTTCTAATGAGAACAGAGCATAACATGACACCTACAAATCATTCAAATGCAGCGAGGCAACCGCTGCAACTCCAAGGCTGCTAGCCCAGCAGTTTTGGCTAAGAGTGGTACACCTGAACTTTTGATTTCAGAAACTACAACTTCAATTCTTGAAATCTCTGATTTAGAAATCGACAATATCATTGCATGCAGTAAGTATTGCTTGCAAGCATAACCTAAAGAATGAAGCATTCGCTGCACCATCAAGTGAGGAATGCCTCTATTCCAGCTCTCTAGGATCACAGTGACCTTGGGAAGATTGGTTAGTATACCAGTGGTGGCTTCTCTAGGAGCTGCCTTGAACAGTAAAACAACACATTCAGAAGCTATATCGGCAATACTGGTTTCTGCAGAGGCACTCAACTCTAGCAAGACACCAAAATTGCTTCCAAAGTCTGCGATATCTTTTATGCATTGCTGGGGATCAACAGCACCACCACTCAACTCGGGAGGATAGTCACCTAAGAGATTTGGTTCTCTTGAGCTGCTCAAGCCTTTTGCACAGCCGACTGAACGTGCTATAAAAGCTCTACACAGCCCAAGAGTGGGTTCCAGCAAATCTTCCATGCCCTTTGCATGTACAAACTCAAGAAAGTTGCCAATCCTCCTAACCACCTTTAAATGAGAGAGTAATTTCGACTCCATCTCGGGAGCAGAAGCTAGAGCAAGACACAGTTTAACATTATTCACATTTGCATTTGAGAGATCACCGAGCAAGAACTCGAAGCATTGTGAAATTGCCTTCATATGTAGAATGTCTGGAATTGTAATAAAACTGAACTCCAGTAGCATAACAAGAAGTTTCTGGGCATAAATAGGAATAGGGTCTTCATCTTCAATCAAGGTTGGATAGAGCGGAAGAAAACGGGTATTTGATATGAATTTAAGATCCTTTAATCGTTGCTCTTCTTCAATTGGTTCACTCAAAAGAATGATCATCACATCAAAAAGAATTTTAAGGCACAAAAACCTGGCATCACCATCCTTGTTACCCTTGTAGAGAACAGTCAAACTAGGGAGGATTTCACGTATGAAAATGTCAGCATTGACAAGAATCATAGGAGATTCCTCTGTGAGAGACTCGAAAATTCGAAGAAGGGTTATTTGGAAGTCATCTCTTCCCTGAAAGACAGTAAAATCGAATATCAATTATTACCCTGTTCTACTGAAATGCAACATAACATCCAACTAATAAAATCATGACTCAATTGTGCAATCAGTGAAATAATGATCATCTATTTAAGTGAGATTAAGTAGCCAGACAGTGTGAAAAATTACGTAGTCAATGAATCAAACACTGCCGTTCATTTCAATTAAGTTAAAACTTAGTGGAAAAAATATTAAAAAGTAAAATATCTTAAAATTTATACCCAAATTTATACACGTTACATCAAGGGAAAACTTAATGTCAAGACTAGACCGTTATGACGAAATATGTAATCTTTAAGGAATGAAAAAGAGATATATAATTGATAATAATAAGAGCCATACGGTTTTTCTAAAGATAAATTCCGGAGTAAACTAACTTTGGTGGAAACAATATCCACTAATGAGAATAAATATTCATTGGCATCTTTCATCCTAACTTCATGTAAAAAAGAAACACGTTTTTGTTAATTACCCAGTGCGAATGCTTAAGATTTAATAATACGTAATTATTCGCAAATTTCTTCTTTAACTTAATAAATCTGATATGAAACATCTTTAACTAACGATTACCCCTCTCAGTGAAAACAAATAATCGTTCAACTAAGAAAATACGATTATTCGCAATGTTCTCACATTCATGTATCAAATATAGTATGCGTCTGTTAATTATTCAATGAAACACGTGATTGCTTTTAAGACTTATTATGAAATATCGTTTCTAACTATTAACATGCTAAAATAATTTCTATGGAATTTTGAGAACAATTTTAATTAAAAAAAATACTCTATATAAAAATAGAACAATTGGCCTTAAACTTTTTTATATTCTTAGCCATCATCCTCACAACCCTTATGATCAAAATCTTAATCAAAAAGCAAACTCGAGTTCTTAAAAATTTAAGTATCTAACGGCTATATCTCAGAACAACATATTTAAACCACACAACTTTTATATTTAAAGAAATATAGCAGCTCCACTATTTCAAAATCCATGAAAGCATACAGTCCAATGCAGAATGCTACATTAACACCTTTTAAATTATTGTCTGAAACTTGGGTGTAATTTACTAAAAAAGATAAGACACGATAAATAGGGCGTAAGACTCATTTAATTAAGTAAAACCCGTTCATTTAATTAAGTAAAACCCATTCATTTAATTAAGAAAGAGATGGTTTTACCATTTCTCTGAAAAGGACGGTACAACGGCGGAGTCACGTACCTGAAATGGTGTCTCTACAAGTTTAATTAGATTCGCCAACTGAAGTACGACTTGTGGTGTCACGACTTTGTGCTTAAAAGTTGAAGTTCCAAGAAGATGAAGGACAACAGGAAACAAATGAATGTTGGCTTTTGGAGATCTGCTGGTAAGGGCAGAGATGTGTCCATGGCGCCTTCCTCCCATCATTTGCTGGACATCCCCTGTTATTATATCCAATAAACCAGGAATACTAGATGCCACAATATGCACAAATGCATCCAAACACTGTCTCACATAGGCATCTTTCTCTTTTCCCAGCCTGTCCACAACAGAAAGCAACTTTTGACTACAGAAGAAGTGTGGAAGCCACCTCCTGCCATGCTTACAGAGGAGAGCCACAAGTACTAATGCCTTTCCTCTTAAAACTTCACTACCTTGCTCAACAAGAGCCAAAAGACTTGGGATCAGATTTTTATCCTCAGCAAGTTGTACAAGGTATCTTCCAATATTTGTGAACAAGTGACTCCCAAGCATTGCTATGTTAAGAAGATTTAAGCTGATTTGCTGCTCTCGTGGACTTCCCTTTACAAGAGTAGAAGCTAGGTCCTTGAATGAGAGTTTCTCAATAACAGACTGAATGCTAGGTGGATTAAAACGAACAAGGCGCACCAAGCATGATCCTGCAGTGAGCCTCATACTCTCTTGTTTCCCTGCCGCCCTATAGATATAACAGAGATTACTAAAAACATCTTGACTGGCCAATCGCCCCACCCAGAACCCTCCTTGACTGCAAATATTCTCAATTGTTCTCAATGCATACAATTGAGTTATATCATCCTCGCCCTTCCTCAACATTGATGACACAAGCGAAATTAACGAATTTGGAACCTGCAGCAAGGTGGAAATTATTTAAGCATGAAAAATGTGAACTTAGAAACCAGGCTAACAAACTTAAAACAGCTGACAGGAGGACACGAAATTGATGAAAAATGTATTTTTACCATACCATGTTGCAAGCAAACTTTATTAGGAAATTGTAAGACTTTGTATACCAGTAATAGATAAGCCAAGCTTTAAATGGCCTACACAGATGAACAACAAACATAGTAAGCAACAAGCTTGGAAGCTAACCTGCCAGCCATATGTTGTTGTCCTATTGTCCTTTGATGGAGATTCAAGTTGATTGTTATCCTTGCAGTCTGCATTTTGAGTGGATATATAAAATAGCAACTCACCCAAAGCAGCCATTGAAAACCTCCTTACTTTTTCCTGCCTGTCTCTAAGGCCATCAGTCAGTGCACCTAAAATTCCAGAATTAGACAAACTGTCATCAACAAAAGTGGAGTGCCTAATCAACAGACCAATCAATGAAGCAAGTTGAACACGCAAAGCTGATGCCTTGGATTGACGAAGCAATTTTACAAGCGTAAGCATAATTGGCCCATTGGTCAAGACATTAGCTGCATCAGCGTTAATGCTCAACATCTCGAGGTACCTAATCACATTTTGTTTCTCTCCAATGCTGGTATTTCCGTTCAAAATGGCTAATATCCGGTTGTGGACTGCCTCCAATTTCTCTTTAGGCATCTTAACAAAATCAGACGCTTGCAATGCCTCAAAAGGGAGTGAAGGAATGACTTCTAAGACTTTATCAACTTTTCTGCTAGGCATTACAGGTCTGACTGAGAGATCAGATGGATGCCAAAGAACCTGGGAAAGGTTGCTAGACAACCTTGAAGAATCAGAGTCA